GAATTCATGGTCTTCCGTGAAGCACGAGGCTGTGCAATTATCAGATAATTCGTGAAAACAGAATGAAGATGCTAGATTATTATTCTGGGAGGTCACGTTCCTGACTTCTAAGGTTTCAGAACGATTAAGGAATGGCTCGCTGATCAAATTATATACATTTCGACATGAAATATCATCGTTGTAGCAAGTCAAACACTCTACTTGGCACTCAATACTTTCGTTATTCGGACTTCTCATTAAAAAATGAGGAGACTTAATGAAAATTGACGTATTGCTGTCATCACAGTACAATTTTACATCAGAAATGATGTGATTTTCTTTTATGATTTCAGGAATAAAATTGATTGAAAAGTAAACAGGCGTAATTAAAACAATCAGGAGGATGATAATGAATTTTATTTTCTTGAATTTATCGGTAACGTATCCGAATATTGGATTCATAAAAACTGCAAGAAATGGGGCCGTCAGGTAAGTAATACCCAATCCTGTAGCACTAACTCCGATGTTTTTAGCTATAAGTGGGAAGTAATTCAAAGCTGATGCCGCAGCTAGAAAATTAATAATAAAAAATGTAGAAAAAATATTAATTTAAAGAATTGTTATATTAATTTGATATTATAAAAATTACCAAGTGAATAGAAAAGAAAATGAAGTTTTATCGGTAGCATTTTTTTGTCGATAGAACATTTTCTACTTCTAGATATCATTATGTCGACTGAATTTTTGTGATAAGTACGCATCATACAATAATTAAAACGATTCCTATGAATAAATAATTCAAAATTTATAAATATTTATATTATTATCTATGTGAAAAATTCAAATTTAATGACTAATTTTACAACATTCATTCTTAAAACTTTATACTCGTATTCAACTTGTATAGCGTTAGATATAGATGTAAATAAAGGTGATCGTTAAATACCTTTATTATACATAAATAAATGTTAGAAAATTTAAATTTGTGAAAGCCTTAGCCCATATTCTGCTTAATGTCAGGTGTTTCTTGAAGAAAGGTTTTGACTGAATCCAGAAAAATTTCTTTCGTGATTACATCGTTCGTGAAATTTCTTAATCTATCTGTGTTACATAGCAATATTTACAAAGAAAGTATATTTATAATTCGAGGTTAGTTGACATTCTCTAGCCTTTTCTAGTTTTAAGTTAGCGATTTTCCTTATTACTCTTGGGATTCTTATACTGTTTAGCTTTGTAGATGTTCCCACTTGCTGGGAATATCTGCAAAGCCTGTAGGAGCTGTCTGTCTGTCTCTATCTACATTAGTTTATCTCTATCTTCTCTATCTATCTTAAGTCTCTCAGTGCAGATATCGTACAGAATTGTCTATACTTAATATTTTATGTAAATCCGCTAGTTTCTTCTCTTATATTTGTTTTACCTGTTATATAAATTTCCTATATATAGATAGGCCTATATAATTATTTCGATTTAAAATATAATTTATACTACTTACGTGTTAATAAATTTATAATACTGTATTTAAGAAAAGAAAAAAAAGCATCATTTCTTACCTTATAGCTCTTCACCTACGCTTTATTATAAGTGTATGGACTTAAAATACGTGGCTAATTTCTCATGCCAATGGCCATTTTCGAAAGATTGTACGTGGAAACCTTATCTAGAAGTTTATATAACATATGAGGTTTAAAGTTTAATTTAGTATCGATTGTTATTCACAGTTATTAACGTTTAAAATGTTAATTAGATCAATGTTTTTTAATGGAGAATATTTAAGATAAATAAACGAACTTTTGGCTCCTAAACGAAAGTGTTTAGGTGTAAAATTTTAGAAGAAAATCGCGTTTAAAGGTGAAAAATTAGGAATAAATTGAATTGCTATATATATAGGCCTATATTTTCGAGCATGTAACTCGAATATTTTGATTCAATTTTAATATATAAGAATGTAAGTAACACTCTCAGACAGAATGATAAGGAAAGGGGTTAATAAGACGGTGTTTAATTTAAAATATCTTGTATAAAGTATGTTATTCTTTCAAACTTTTTAGGAGAGATTAGAAAATACGTTGAAAATACAGAAGTTTTTTTTGGAAGAGACTTTTAAAATGGTTTGAGAAACAAGAGTAATTCAAAAGCTTGAGCATTGATTTGATGGATTAGTAATGTAGATAAAAATCCAATAAATTAAATTAAATTCCAATAAATAAATAAAACTTTTTATATATCACTTATCAAATTTAAAGTCTGGCATTTAAATATTTTATCAATGGTGTCATTTATATAATTCTAAAGTAAACACTTCACATCATACTATAATTATATAAAGTAAAATCTGACCTGGTTATTCATATAAGAATTCAGCAAAGAGTTGAGTAACTTTTCAGGCAAAAAAGTTAAAATTTTGTGTACCGCCATCTGTTATAAGATTTTATTTTTAAAAACATTTTTAAATTATTGATTATTATAAAATGACAAAGAATTTAATTTTGATAGTGTTGATAAGTACTAATAACAAGTAAAATCTTCAATAAGACCGAATATGACACGAGTCCTTCTATCTCCATCCTTTATGAAAAATAGAATTAAAGTGACGATTGTTTAATAGCTTTTGTTTATTTAGTTTCTTGTTTGTCGATGCCTCTTCCAACAATCATCTCTACATTTGATGGAAGGGGTGAAACTGTATGGAAGAGAAGAATGGGCTGACAAAAATAGGAAGTGAAAGAGTAAAGAAGAGATGGAAACTGTGTTGACATTCTTGTATACAATTTCTAAAGGATTCTCAACTTAAGGATTGCGTTGTGAGGTTACAAATTAAAATCTTACATTTCTACATTATTATTTGATGTAGGAAGGAATATTATATTTATTATAGCTTAAAGCCACAGCAAGTTCAGCCATGTGCGATAAGCATGTTTATTCCTTTTTACACAAGAACTTCAATGTCTTGTGGAAAAGCCATCAATACTAACAACTGAATGGAACATAATCACTTCGGACTTCCAGTATAAGGGTAATATGGATTTCGTCCAGACGTGTCAACCTGTCAGGCTCTACATCGGGCAGTCAGCCTGATTCCGGAGAACCGCCGACAGGGCCTCCACACGACCCTCGTTTCGATGGACCTTGCGGGGGCATATGATAACGTCTGATGGCTATCCATTGTGAGTGAGTTGCGGAAGGCCAGACTGCCGATCACCCTCTTTTCGCTTGTCAGAAGCTTTCTGAGAGACCGTACAGTTGAGTATTGCACCCCGAACAGGTGCTTTGTCAGGAAATTGCAGAGGATTTGTCCCCAGGGGTCATGCATAGGGTCCTTTCTTTGGAACGTTCTCGCAGACACGGCACTGAGACTTGTCATGCCAGACAATGTACAGTACTGTACTGTACATCAATCAGATTTTACTTTTTACGTTGAATACAAAAATGCAATGCATCTTGAATCTATTTCAGCGTAACTGCGTGCCTGTTTGCTATGGCCTTTCAGAGCCTCAAGATTCTCAAGATGGCCATGCAATTGAAATTTAACTTCTTTGACTAGACTCATTTATACTACATTTGAGTTTCAGGTCAATTCCTTCATCATCAACTCTATAAACAACTGTTTAGACAGTCAATTCGTTATGGTATTCTGTTTCTCTCTACATCAACACTTCGCTTTCTTATCTCTCTATTTGTATCAATAGTAGCAAATTGTCAAAATTTTCTTCCACCATTTCTTGTGCATTTTTATCTTAAAAAGCAAACAGACGTGTTTTCATCTTATGAAGCTGTGAACTTTTCTTTATGTATACCATAAAATGCTACTACCAGAATAGTATGTTGCATGGTTGCTTCCGTTCCAGGTGATACTATGAATTTTCCATTAGAGATCATGGCTAAATAAAAAAGACCGTAAGAGAGTTCTTTAACTAAATCGAGTAACAAAATCAATCAAGGATTTCTAATAAATCAAGCAGTAAAATAATAAACGGTATAAGTGTAAAAGCAAAACACACGCCATTATCTCTTCCAATTCTTTTGATAATCCAACCAGAAATAAACATAAAAGGTACAGTACATCAGCCCAAATGTATACTATTCCTTTGTGTAATTCCATTAATAGCTTACTTCCTCCCAAATCTTCCAAATACCAATAGCCATAATGCCATTTTATCCCTGTTGACCTTCTACAATAAATGCATCAGAAACAAATGTATAACTTATTCAAAGATAAATTTTCTTAATATAAAACTTCATACCGAATAACGAAAAACAATTATTTACTTTTATAAAAAAAATTGAATGCTTTAATATGAATTAAAATGTTTCTAAATAAATAAATAAATAGCATAGAGCCGTAGTGTTCATCTTATTCGTCTGTATTTACACGGAATATAAGAGAAAAGAAAGGTCTCGAACTTAGACTCATGTGTATGGATGTTAGTGTGTTAATGTGTGTATATGGAGTATTTATGTGTGTGTGAAGGGCACGATTTTGTTTACCCTGTTTCAAGCTTATTGAAGCTTATTAAGTGAACAAATTAATGAATTTTGATCAAGCTATCCTTTTCTCTAAGAATTTTACATTCGCTTAGGTGCGTAGTTTACTTATTTTTTAAGATTTTACTTAATAAACATTTAAAAATAACGCATTTAAATTTCTCTTTAAGGATATGAAATTTTAGTAATTGGAATTTTATTAGAGAATTGCAAAATCTTAAGAAAAACAAGTCAAAATGGAGGTTCCTAATTGTATCGACTAGAATCAATGTTGATGAAATCTGTATACATATTAAATTATATATTGCTTCTGGCTTCATATTGTAATGAAATATCTTATTTATATACCCAAATTTTATGAAATAATACTTTTAAATTCTCTAATTCTATGTAAAATTTACCGCTTATAAATTTAATACTTTAGTTTTCTTATCTTAATCTATATTGTAACAAGTAAATTATGATTATATGTATTTACTCAGCTCAGAATTATTTTAATATAATAAATCACAATTAAAACCTTTATTGTCGTTTATTTTCTTCATATTAATTACGAAATAATTTTTCACATTTTAATAATCAAAGGAAAACTTGCGAAAGATAATTAGCTTTTTGGCATGCTTTTCGTGAATAAATCTGAGTAAAATAAATTTCTGAAATTTCTTTACCTCACGGCAGATACCTATTTTGAATCGTTATTATGTTCCACATATTAAGCTCAGAAACGTGATAAAAAAATTATACCTTTTATTACAGATCTTTCTCCCGCTATAAATGTCGTGATGCATTTGTATATTATGGCTGATCCTATAGAGAAACATCCCACAAAACGAAAAGTCAACTGATTACCATAATTGTCGAAACCAATACCTCCCAACAGACATCCTGCACCTATACCTAAAAAAATAGAACAATAAAACAAGTTTCTAAATTAAATTAGATTATACTTTATATATTATAACATTCCTCGAAATGCATTGTAAAATTATTTGTAACGCATTGCAACGTAGTAATTGAAGTTTGCTAAATAACCCAATAGGAACCACAGCATACTTAGGCATGGACAGAAGAGCAGGGTTCACATATATTAATTAAATCACTACCTAAAAGCTCACGTGATGAAATTACAGCTTAATATCTTGAATTTTTACATTATTATTTTGTAAGAAGTAGAATCTTATATATTATTAACTTCGAACCATAAGGAGTGACATTGTGCAATGAGATTTATGCCCTATATTCCTCTGATATTCCTCAAATTTGTTTCTTATTTCAAATACAGGAAGAACCCGGATTCGATTTCCAATTCGTAGATTCTGCTATCCTTTTTCTAAAGAGACTTATCAACAATCTTTAGAATAAAATCAACATAAGATTATTATGTATCAAGATAAAATGTCGGCAGACATTTTAAGGAACACCGATTTCTTCCTGTTTCTTATTATAATGATTCAGTTAACAATTTCGTATGTAATTACTATTGAGTTTAAAAGTTAAGATATATCTGTATATTTAAATACAGTAGAGATTTGATTATCCGGAGCAAATGTATGACAAATTTCAGAAACGAGAACAGACGAAAAGTCTTGCAAATTTAATGAAAATCCAACATAAGTGTGACTTAAAAATAATAATTTTACAGTATAACCAACGTGATAGTTATTATGTACAAGTGTCAATTCGAATGAAATAAACTGAACATCAAATTTTAATTTAAGTAAATACATCGTTTAGTATATATCAAGGCAAAATACAAAAGTAACGTTTGCAAAAATTTAATAAATGACAATTGCATGACAATTTATATTTCTCTTATTGAGGCCACGTCTCGTCAGAATTATAATAAGATGTCATCAATAATTGTTCTATTTTCTTTTCTCGACAGTGTAACTGCATGAAGCTTCAAATCCTTTAAATCNGCCATGCAATTGAAATTTAACTTCTTTGACTAGACTCATTTATACTACATTTGAGTTTCAGGTCAATTCCTTCATCATCAACTCTATAAACAACTGTTTAGACAGTCAATTCGTTATGGTATTCTGTTTCTCTCTACATCAACACTTCGCTTTCTTATCTCTCTATTTGTATCAATAGTAGCAAATTGTCAAAATTTTCTTCCACCATTTCTTGTGCATTTTTATCTTAAAAAGCAAACAGACGTGTTTTCATCTTATGAAGCTGTGAACTTTTCTTTATGTATACCATAAAATGCTACTACCAGAATAGTATGTTGCATGGTTGCTTCCGTTCCAGGTGATACTATGAATTTTCCATTAGAGATCATGGCTAAATAAAAAAGACCGTAAGAGAGTTCTTTAACTAAATCGAGTAACAAAATCAATCAAGGATTTCTAATAAATCAAGCAGTAAAATAATAAACGGTATAAGTGTAAAAGCAAAACACACGCCATTATCTCTTCCAATTCTTTTGATAATCCAACCAGAAATAAACATAAAAGGTACAGTACATCAGCCCAAATGTATACTATTCCTTTGTGTAATTCCATTAATAGCTTACTTCCTCCCAAATCTTCCAAATACCAATAGCCATAATGCCATTTTATCCCTGTTGACCTTCTACAATAAATGCATCAGAAACAAATGTATAACTTATTCAAAGATAAATTTTCTTAATATAAAACTTCATACCGAATAACGAAAAACAATTATTTACTTTTATAAAAAAAATTGAATGCTTTAATATGAATTAAAATGTTTCTAAATAAATAAATAAATAGCATAGAGCCGTAGTGTTCATCTTATTCGTCTGTATTTACACGGAATATAAGAGAAAAGAAAGGTCTCGAACTTAGACTCATGTGTATGGATGTTAGTGTGTTAATGTGTGTATATGGAGTATTTATGTGTGTGTGAAGGGCACGATTTTGTTTACCCTGTTTCAAGCTTATTGAAGCTTATTAAGTGAACAAATTAATGAATTTTGATCAAGCTATCCTTTTCTCTAAGAATTTTACATTCGCTTAGGTGCGTAGTTTACTTATTTTTTAAGATTTTACTTAATAAACATTTAAAAATAACGCATTTAAATTTCTCTTTAAGGATATGAAATTTTAGTAATTGGAATTTCATTAGAGAATTGCAAAATCTTAAGAAAAACAAGTCAAAATTAAAGTTTCTAATTGTATCGACTAGAAACAATGCTGATGAAATCTGTATATATTGCTTCATATTGTAATGAAATATCTTTTTATATATCCAAATTTTATGAAATAATACTTTTAAATTCTCTAATTCTATGTAAAATTTACCGCTTATAAATTTAATACTTTAGTTTTCTTATCTTAATGTATATTATAACAAGTAACTTATGTTTATGTGTATTTACTCAGCTCAGAAATATTTTCATAATTCATAATTCATAATTCAAAGCTTCATTGTCATTTATTTTCTTCATTTCTCTGTTACAAAATAATTTTTCACATTTTAATAATCAAAGGAAAACGCGCGAAAAATCCTTAGCTTTTTGGTATGCTTTTCGTGAATAAATCTGAGTAAAATAAATTTCTGAAATTTCTTTACCTCACGGCAGATACCTACTTTGAATCGTTATTATGTTCCACTTTTTAAGCTCAGAAACGTAAGAAAAAATTATACCTTTTATTACAGATCTTTCTCCCGCTATAAATGTCGTGATGCATTTGTATATTATGGCTGATCCTATAGAGAAACATCCCACAAAACGAAAAGTCAAACGATTACCATAATTATCAAACCTAATACCTCCCAACAGACATCCTGTACCTATACCTAGAAAACAGAGCAATAAAACATGTTTCTTAATTAAATTAGATGATTATACTTTATATATATTATAATATTCCACAAAATGCATTAAAAATTATTTGTAACGAAGTAATTAAAGTTTGCTAAATAACCCAACAGGAACCACAGCATACATAGGCATGGACAGAAGAGCAGGGTTCACATATATTAATTAAATCACTACCCGAAACTCACGTGATGAAATTACAGCTTAATATCTTGATTTTTACGTTATTATTTGGTAAGAAATAGAATCTTATATATTATTAACATCGAACCACAAGGTAACTCATTGCACATTGCACAACGCTCATTGCACAAGTGACCTTGTGCAATGAGACATTTTCTATATTTCTCTAATACGATCGGAATGTGTTGCGAAAAATTCAATTTTTTCCAATAACTGTATGAACGGAAGCACCAAATTTTTTTCTTATTTCAAATACAGGAAGAACCCGGATTCGATTTCCAATTCGTAGATTCTGCTATCCTTTTTCTAAAGAGACTTATCAACAATCTTTGAATAAAATCAACATAAGATTATTATGTATTAAGATAGGATGTATGCAGACATTTTAAGAAACACGTGTTTCTTCCTGTTTCTTATTATAATGATTCAGTTAACAATTTCGTATGTAATTACTATTGAGTTTAAAAGTTAAGATATATCTGTATATTTAAATACAGTAGAGATTTGATTATCCGGAGCAAAATGTATGGAAAATTTAAGAAACAAGAACAGACGAAAAGTCTTGCAAATTTAATGAAAATCCAACATAAGTGTGACTTAAAAATAATAATTTTACAGTATAACCAACGTGATAGTTATTATGTACAAGTGTCAATTCGAATAAAATAAACTGAACATCAAATTTTAATTTAAATAAATACATCGTTTAGTATATATCAAGGCAAAATACAAAAGTAACGTTTGCAAAAATTTAATAAATGACAATTGCATGACAATTTATATTTCTCTTATTGAGGCCACGTCTCGTCAGAATTATAATAAGATGTCATCAATAATTGTTCTATTTTCTTTTCTCGACAGTGTAACTGCATGAAGCTTCAAATCCTTTAAATCCTTGAAGATGGGCATAGCAAAGAAATTCATTTCTTTGCTATGCCCATTTTGTTGTCAATCGTTTTTTTCACATTGTTTACTCTCATTCCAATACCTCGTATAATCATCATCTTTATTCTTAATCTAGTTATGCAGAGTTTATTAAATCAATTCGGGATCGTCTTTTTTTACATCATCACCGTCCCCTTTCTCGCTTTTCTATTTATATCAATAGTAGCAAATTGACAAAATTTCCATCCGCTATTTCTTGTACAGTACCTATTTATGTTTGAAAAGCAGCTTTTTGNATGTTGAGAAATTGCTTTTGCTTTGGATAACTGAAAAAACAGTGTGCCTACGACAGCGTATCGGAAGAAATTATTTGCGAGAAAGTTAAAAAGATACATGCTGATCTCATGAAAAATGAAGCAGAAACTAGCGAGGAAAGCGAGATGTTTAAAGCCAGCCATTTTTTTACATGAGAACGGATTAATCATTTTTACATTACTTCTTATGGAAAAGGTTGGTTTGGTATACGTCCTATTCGGTATAAGTCCAAACACCAGGAACGGATTAAGGTCGTATACCGAGGTTCCACTGTATTATAATATTCCTCAAAATGCATTACAAAATTATTTGTAACGAAGTAATTAAAGTTTGCTAAATAACCCAATAGGAACCACAGCACACATCGGCATGGGCAGAAGAGCAGGGTTCACATATATTAATTAAGTAAATCACTACCTAAAACTCACGTGATGAAATTACAGCTTAATATCTTGAATTTTTACGTTATTATTTGGTAAGAAATAGAATCTTATATATTATTAACATCGAACCACAAGGAGTGATTTTGTGCAATGAGACATTTTCTATATTACTCTAATACGATCGGTATGAGTTGCGAAAAATTCAATCCATTCCAATAACTGTATGAACAAAGCACCAATTTTTTTTTTTCAAATACAGGAAGAACCCGGGTTCGATTTCCAATTCGTAGATTCCTCTATTTTTTTCTAAAGAGACTTATCAACAATCTTTGAATAGAATCAACATAAGATTATTATGTATCAAGATAGTATGTATGCAAATATTTTAAGGAACACGTGTTTCTTCCTGTTTCTTATTATAATGATTCAGTTAACAATTTCGTATGTAATTACTATTGAGTTTAAAAGTTAAGATATATCTGTATATTTAAATACAGTAGAGATTTGATTATCCGAAGCAAATGTATGAAAAATTTCAGAAACGAGAACAGACGAAAAGTCTTGCAAATTTAATGAAAATCCAACATAAGTGTGACTTAAAAATAATAATTTTACAGTATAACCAACGTGATAGTTATTATGTACAAGTGTCAATTCGAATGAAATAAACTGAACATCAAATTTTAATTTAAGTAAATACATCGTTTAGTATATATCAAGGCAAAATACAAAAGTAACGTTTGCAAAAATTTAATAAATGACAATTGCATGACAATTTATATTTCTCTTATTGAGGCCACGTCTCGTCAGAATTATAATAAGATGTCATCAATAATTGTTCTATTTTCTTTTCTCGACAGTGTAACTGCATGAAGCTTCAAATCCTTTAAATCCCTGAAGATGGGTATAGCAAAGAAATTCATTTCTTTGCTATGCCCATTTTGTTGTCAATCGTTTTTTTTCACATTGTTTACTCTCATTCCAATACCTCGTATAATCATCATCTTTATTCTTAATCTAGTTATGCAGAGTTTATTAAATCAATTCGGGATCGTCTTTTTCTACATCATCACCGTCCCCTTTCTCGCTTTTCTATTTATATCAATAGTAGCAAATTGACAAAATTTCCATCCGCTATTTCTTGTACAGTACCTATTTATGTTTGAAAAGCAGCTTTTTGTGATCTTGTTATACTAAATATCTAATCTGTGCTTGTGATTATGTGACCAATAAGTGTCATGTTTGAAGACTTTTTAAGATTACTATGCATATAACACTTTTCTTTATCCAAGAAAAGTATTATTTGGGCATAAATATACATAAAAAAGATTGAGCTCCAGTAAGTAATATTGGGAATGGGCAAAATAGTACACGTGTTCGCTCAGCACAAGTGTGTGAATAATTGTCCGTGAATAATGAATAATTGTCTCGTGTTGTTTGATCAGATAAGCTAAAGACGGATACTCAAAACTCTACAGCAATCAGAATTCGAATATATTTAATAAAAACAAAAGTAAGTTTCCTTACCTAGACCACAAAATGCTGCTCCTAGAATAGCTTGCATAGTCGCTTCCGTTCCAGGTAATGCTACGAGTTTCCCATACGACATCATGGCTGCATAAAAAAGACCGTAAGAGGGTCCTTGAACTAAATCGGGTAACAAAATCAACCAAGTATTTCCAATAAATGAAGTAAAATAATGAATAGACAAAGTAATAAAAGACAAACACATGCCATTATCTCTTCCAATTCTTTTGATAATCCAACCAGAAATAAACATAAAAGGTACAGTACATCAGCCCAAATGTATACTATTCCTTTGTGTAATNCTTTGAATAGAATCAACATAAGATTATTATGTATCAAGATAGTATGTATGCAAATATTTTAAGGAACACGTGTTTCTTCCTGTTTCTTATTATAATGATTCAGTTAACAATTTCGTATGTAATTACTATTGAGTTTAAAAGTTAAGATATATCTGTATATTTAAATACAGTAGAGATTTGATTATCCGAAGCAAATGTATGAAAAATTTCAGAAACGAGAACAGACGAAAAGTCTTGCAAATTTAATGAAAATCCAATATAAGTGTGATTTACAAATAATAATTTTACAGTGTAACCAACGTGATAACTATTATGCAGAAGTGTCAATTCGAGTGAAATAAACTGAACATCAAATTTTAATTTAAGTAAATACAACGTTTAGTATAGCCTATATCAAGGCAACGTTTGCAAGAATTTAATAAATGACAATTGCATGACAATATATTTTTCTTATTGAGGCCACGTCTCGTCAGAATTATAATAAGATGTCATCAATAATTGTTCTATTTTCTTTTCTCGACAGTGTAACTGCATGAAGCTTCAAATCCTTTAAATCCCTGAAGATGGGCACAGCAAAGAAATTCATTTCTTTGCTATGCCCATTTTGTTGTCAATCGTTTTTTTCACATTGTTTACTCCCATTCCAATACCACGCATAATCATCATCTTTTTTCTTAATCCGGTTATGCAGAGTTTATTAAATCAATTCGGGATCGTCTTTTTTTACATCATCACCGTCCCCTTTCTCGCTTTTCTATTTATATCAATAGTAGCAAATTGACAAAATTTCCATCCGCTATTTCTTGTACAGTACCTATTTATGTTTGAAAAGCATCTTTTTGTGATCTTGTTATACTAAATATCTAATCTGTGCTTGTGATTATGTGACCAACAAGTGTCATGTTTGAAGACTTTTTAAGATTACTATGCATATAACACTTTTCTTTACCCAAGGAAAGTATTATTTAGGCATAAATATACATAAAAAAGATTGAGCTCCAGTAAATAATATTGGGAATGTGCAAAATAGTACACGTGTTCGCTCAGCACAAGTGTGTGAATAATTGTCTGTGAATAATGAATAATTGCCTCGTGTTGTTCGATCAGATAAGCGAAAGACGGATAATCAAAACTCTACAACAATCAGAATTCGAACATATTTAATAAAAACAAAAGTAAGTTTCCTTACCTAGACCACAAAATGCTACTCCTAGAATAGCTTGCATAATCGCTTCCGTTCCAGGTGGTGCTACGAGTTTCCCATACGACGTCATGGTTGCATAAAAAAGACCGTAAGAGGGTCCTTGAACTAAATCGGGTAACAAAATTAACCAAAGATTTCTAATAAATGAAGCAGTAAAAAACCAAATAGTAAAAGTGATGAAAGCCAAACACACGCTATTGTCTCTTTTAATTCTTTTGATAATCCAACCAGAAATAAACATAAAAGGTACTTCGGCCCAAATGCAAAGCATTGCATTATGTATTTCCATTAATAGCTTACTACCTCCCAATCCTTCAAGTACCAATAGTCATAATTCCATTTTATTCCAGTTAATGCTCCTACAAGAAACGAAGCAGAAAGAAGGAAAAAAGGATGAGCTCTTACAAATAGTTTACTGACGTCTTTTAGTATATTGTTTGAGGACTAGTTGCACAATATATCTAGTAGACATAGAAGATAAAAATATGACAAATAACCGAAATTGATAGTAGTGAAATGAATTAAATTCATGGTCTTCAGTGAAGCACGAGGCAGTGCAATTATCAGATAATTCGTGAAAACAGAAAGAAGATTCAAGATTATTATTCTGGAAGGTCACGTTCTTTACTTCTAAGGTTTCAGAACGATTAAAGAATGGCTCCCTGATCAAATTATATACATTTTTGACATGAAATATCATCGTTGTAGCAAGTCAAACACTCTACTTGGCACTCAATACTTTCGTTATTCGGAATTCTCATTAGAAATTCCGAAGAATTAATGAAAATTGACGTTTTGATGTCATCACAATACAATTTTAGATCGGTCATAATACGAATTTTTTTTTAATTTCAGGTATATAATTAATTGAAAAGCATACAGTGGTAATAAAAACGATCAAGAAGGCGATAAGGAATTTTATTTTCTTGAATTTATCGGTAATGAATCCAATAATTAGGTTAATAAAAACTGTAAGAAATAGTACTATCAAAAACGTCACACCATATGCTTTTGCACTAACTCCAATATTTTTAGCTATTAGTGGGAAGTAATCTGTACCTGCTGCTGCAGCTAGAAAATTAACAATTAACAATATAGAAAATTTATTAATTTAAATATTGTTTATATTAATTTGATACTAGATAAATTACCAAAGGAGAAGAAAAGATAATTGACGTTTCATCGGTAGCATTTTCTTGTCGATGGAACATTTTCTGNACCAAGTATTTCCAATAAATGAAGTAAAATAATGAATAGACAAAGTAATAAAAGACAAACACATGCCATTATCTCTTCCAATTCTTTTGATAATCCAACCAGAAATAAACATAAAAGGTACAGTACATCAGCCCAAATGTATACTATTCCTTTGTGTAATCCCATTAATAGCTTACTACCTCCCAAATCCTCCAAGTACCAATAGTCATAATACCATTTTATTCCAGTTAATGCTCCTACAAGAAACGAAGCAGAAAGGAGGAAAAAGGATGAGCTCTTACAAATAGTTTACTGACATCTTTTAGTATATTGTTTGAGGACTAGTTGCACAATATATCCAGTAGACATCGAAGATATTCCATATTCAAGAGATAGTAAAAATCTTTGTTTTCCAAATTGATTAACTCTTCCTTCCAGTGATTCAAAACAAGCAGCATCCGATAAGGATATCAGACTATTAAATAAAATAAGAGTTAGTGATGAAAATATGACAAATAACCAAAATTGATGGTAGTGAAACGAATTAAATTCATGGTCTTCCGTGAAGCATGAGGCAGTGCAATTATCAGATAATTCGTGAAAACACAAAGAAGATTCAAGATTATTATTCTGGATTATTATACCACGTTCCTTACTTCTAAGGTTTCAGAACGATTAAAGAATGGCTCGCTGATCAAATTATATACATTTCGACATGAAATATCATCGTTGTAGCAAGTCAAACACTCTACTTGGCACTCAATACTTTCGTTATTCGGACTTCTCATTAAAAAATGAGGAGACTTAATGAAAATTGACGTATTGCTGTCATCACAGTACAATTTCACATCAGAAATGATGTGATTTTCTTCTATGATTTCAGGAATAAAATTGATTGAAAAGTAAACAGGCGTAATTAAAACAATCAGGAGGATAATAATAAATTTTATTTTCTTTAATTTATCGGTAATGAATCCAATAATTAGGTTAATAAAAACTATAAGAAATAGTACTATCAAAAATGTCACACCATATGCTTTTGCACTAACTCCAATATTTTTAGCTATTAATGGGAAGTAATCTGTACCTGCTGCTGCAGCTAGAAAATTAACAATTAACAATATAGAAAATTTATTAATTTAAATATTGTTTATATTAATTTGATACTAGATAAATTACCAAAGGAGAAGAAAAGATAATTGACGTTTCATCGGTAGCATTTTCTTGTCGATAGAACATTTTCTGCTTCTACACATCCCCATGTCGACTGATTATATTGTACGTTTTAAGGCAAGAATTTTACACAGATGCTTATGAATTCTTATTGTTAAGACCTCATATAAGTACAATAGTACCCCCTGTATATTCGCTTAGACCTCTACGTTCAGAGGAATTTAGAGGTTGGTTCTTGGTCAAAGCTCAGCTTTTTTGAGTCTTAAAAAGCTCTCTTATATATTTTACCTAGCAAAATATGAAACCGACTGTTACACAATTATAATAATAACTTATATTTAAGCATACTTATCTACATAAGTAAACACAAATTAACTAATTTGTTATGCTTTTAACATAAACATTCCTAAAACCTACTGTATTATATAACGGACTTAACGACGCGAATATTGTATCTGATAATATCAAAGTACTGTACTTAACTTATATTAATTAAATTACATACACGTACAGAAATATTATACATACCCCACAAAAATACTTAGTAGTAATATCCTATTTTATTAGTTTCGATATCTAAGTAGCCAATCATACGCGAGGATTTGAATCATGTGAAAGTAGCCAGTCACAGGCAAGGATCTGAATCATGTGATATACTACGCTAATAGTTTCGATATCGAAGTAGCCAATCATAGGCGAGGATTTAAATCATGTGCCATATGACATCGTGGTTTTGCAGAAATTCAAATAACCTTTATTAAAGAAAGGTTTGACTTTTATTAAATTTTTTAATTAAATTTTTTTATAATAGGCTACTAATTTTATGCAGATTTTTGCTTTTAATATTTTAAATGATTTAAATCAATTAAAATTGTGCATTTATCACTTTATTTTTTAAAATAAATTATAATACATTTATTACATATAATATAAATTTTAAAAAATAAATTTCGATGTAATATTCGATTATATATTGTCACATTTGTATAATTCCAATTTAACGAAACGAATTTCACATTTATTTACATGTGGATAAGTCTTCCAGTTTAGGTTTATCTTCTGCTTCTTCTTTCTTATCTTTAAAAATATAAAAAGATATAATAAAGTAAAATAATAAATTGTTATACCGTTTAAAATACAACAAATAATTTATAATAAAAAAAATTATATACAAGAAGCATCTTTTTTATTTTTTATTTTTTTCAATTTATTATTGAATCGGGTAACAGGATAGAGTCAACCTAGTAACAGGCAATTATATATAATTCAATACTAAAACACTCCTTTATTACAAACTGATAGTAATTATGAAAATCATACACTTATATAAAACCTCTGAATAAAGGCTGTACCCCCCGATTTTTCAGGGTTTTTTTTTAATCTAACGCTTAAGTAAGGACCATTTTTGCATAGAAAATCCACTCGGGAGGCAATTCCCTACTTGGCAGATTGCATTGTCTCAACACATTAATAATTTCTTAAACGCATTTATTGTACAACTTCTACTTTCAATGTGAGGGTCGTCTATTCGAACAACTTTTGTAACAGCACAATTTCGTATGTACACATTACATTCATGTATTCTATTTCGTAATTAAACGTTCGTTCATTTGTATGTATTATGCTTTACTCCATGTATACTTCATCGCATTAGATGGTTTATACTGACACAGGATTGCCTCAGCAAACACAGCAAACACAAGTTTCCTATTTGAAAGTTACTCTATTTAAACCCTCTGAAGTTCGAGACTTAACTTTAGAATCATCCTGTATAAAATACACATGATTTATCCAGAAGTCGTGGGTCACAGGTGACGAGATGATACCTTTAATTCTTATTAAAGGAATATGCAGGAGATACACTAATTGGAAGACACCATAGCTTTAATGTAGTTGAAGTTTTCACTTATCGTTTACACGTGTTTATTATTCACTGTCATGAAAATAGATGAAGATCGTATAATAGAAACAAAACATGATTTTAGTAAGCCAGTAGGTTGATTATTTAATCTAAATAAATGTATGCCTTTTTCTCGAGTGTTCTTGATGTATATTTTATGTCCTTAATAAGAATTTCGTGCCATGAGTGAGTGAAGTTTAATCAGTTTTTAAGAAAGGAATGTTTGAAGGTAACACTTATAGAAGAAAAGGTGTAAACTACATTAAATCAAAGCAATTTTTCAATATCGCTGATATCTGATTAAGTGATACTTAAATTATTTTATAAATAAATATATAAGCTATATATAAAACATACCTCCTATTACAGAATTTTCTCCTGCTATAAACACGGTTATGAACTTATATACAACAGCGGCACCCAAAGTAAAAAATCCTGCAAAACGATATGTCATTCGACCGCCATATTTCTCGAAGCCGATTCCTCCTACTAAACTTCCTGAACCGACGCCTGTACAGTACATTAAATAATACATTTTCAACTTTTTAAAGTTATACAGTCTGGGTTAAAAGTAACTAGGTACTGATAAATCACTATAATTTTTATTTTTCAAAGGCAAAGATGACGAGAATTATTATACATTTACCATATTGAATGAAAATATTGATGGATATCTAAAACTTTAACGCAGGTACCGGTGCCGTCTACCTACGAAACGTTTTCTTCTGGTCGTGATGAAGTTGGACAGGCACTTCGTCTGCACAGAGAAGTGGCCGAATCTGTGGTCATTTTAGTTTCGAATGACAACTTTTGATTGTTTTCGGAAAGATCATTGCATGACGTCTTTTTACTATAACCCACCATTTCTGCACAACAAACACTGATTTACACACTTCGTATCGTAAAGCAATCCGTGTTCGCTCCTGTACAGACAAACAGTCGGCCATCCTTTTTTGCCATGCGTGAGCCTACGGTTATTGCTCATACCAGTATATACAGGAATTATAAAATTCTATTGATTGATGTATATTCCGCACATACATTGTTGCGCTAGCATTATTATTACAAAAATTTTTGCGATTTCTCAATGCCTAGTTACTTTCCACCAATCCTATATATTTATAAAAGATAATTCTGTAATAAATTGACAACTGTTCTCGTTCAAAATCGACATAAATCTTAATTAAAAGTAAATAATGTAAATAAGATTAAAACAAAAACAATAAATAAGAGAAAGACCGCACAAATATTCTGACATTGTAATGACAGATGTAAATATTTCTTAATAATAAAAAATATTATGAAAGCTAATTATAAACATTTTGCTATGGTAATAAAACTATATTTACATAAAATTCAATGTAAAAAAGAAGTGTGCACTCTTACCTAAGCCAAAAAACGTGGCCCTCAGAATTGCTTGCATGGTAGCTTCAGTTCCAGGTGCGGCTATGATTTTCCCATAAGACGACATAGCTGCATAGAAAAGACCGTAACACGGTCCTTGAGTCAGATCAGGTAATATAATCCACCATGCATTATATATATACGAAGCAGTTAAAAACCAGATGGAAAATGCTATAAAAGCAAGGCACATGCAGTTATCTCTTCCTATTCTTTTAATAATCCAACCAGAGATAAACATGAATGGTACTTCACTAAACATACAAATCGTCGCTGAACTAACACCCATTAAAATCTTACTAGCACCCATTTCATCGAAATACCAAAAGGCAAAATTCCATTGTATACCAGAAAATGCTCCTACAAGAAATGCAGCAATAACAATAAAATATGGATGAGGTTTTACGAATATTTTCCTAACATCCCTTAATATATGGCTCGATGATTTATCCTTTTTCATATCTGTATATCCAAGTATTATAACATCTAACAGCATTAATGGTAGCATCATATAAAAGCATACAGAAAAATCGGTTTTTCCTTTGTTATTCATATTTGCTAACTCTACAATATATCCAGTACATGCTGATATCACTCCCCATCCTATAGAAAGCCACATTCTTTGTTTACCAAATTGATTAACTCTTCCTTCAAGGGATTCGTAGCATGCAACATCCGATAAAGCTATGATAATATCAGTTATAATTATACCAGAGGCTGTTAGAAAGACAAACAACCAGAATTGATAGTGGAGGAATGAATTGCTATCTTCTTCTTCATCCATGAAGCACGTTGTCCAGCAATTATCCTTCCATTCTTCAGAACAGATAGAAGATGTGACATTATCCTCCAGGGTTGTATTAATTACTTGCATAATTTGTGAATTATTTACAAGCGATTTACTGAATATATTAAAACTTCTGTGGCATAATATGTCACTGTTGTTACAGGGCATACATTCAAGATTACACTCTAAAGTTTTATTGCTTGGATTTATTGTTAGAAACTTTGCAGATTCAATGAATATAGAATCATTATCATTATTACATAAGAATTTTACGTCAGAGAAAACATGTTTTTCTTTTTCAATTTCGGGAATATAATTGATGGAAAAGTAAATGGGTGTTTGAAGAATTGCCAAAAGCATAATGAAAAATTTAATTTTTTTGAATTTATCAGTTATGCATCCAAATATTGGATTAATTAACACTGTAACGAATGGAACTATAGTAAACGTTATTCCTACTCCTGTAACACTAATTCCGATATTTTTTGCTATTAATGAGAAGTAAAGAAACACAGATCCTAGGGCTGAAAATTTGAAAATAAAAAGAGTTAATCGTGTGTAAAATAAAGTAAAAATTCTATCTGAAGTATAATTATTCCTTACCTAAAGCGTAGAAGAAAAAATGAAGTTTCATTGGTAGCATTTTCTTATCAACAGTCACTTTACAGGATTTAAATATCATCTTGAATAATTTTCTACAACAATTAATATTCGAATTTCTTCCTGAAAGAATAAGAAAGGAAACTCATAAACCTGGAAACCATTAAACCTAATGTTTCTTCTTACTCGTTTTAACAGAGGAAAAAGGAAGATTATCAGTGACCCCAACCCACTCGCTTCTTTTCGCCACTTAGATTTACTCACTTGTTAAAGGGGCACAGTAGAGCCCAATTTGGAAACCACTGGGCTATTAAATATGACAAATAGGTGCTTCACTGCCCAACAGAAAAGAATAGTAGTGCATCCCTGCATAACACGAATGTAATGAGGGTGTAGTTGAATGTTCGACCAAATTTAGATTAGCAGTAATATATGATAATTAAGTTGTCGCTGTTTTACTTAACTGCACTCAATGTTTTCTATTATATCGGAATATTTGCATAGCCATATCATTGCTAACCTAAACCTAACCGCACTGCACTTGTGCTATGCGGAGATGCACTGCCACCCCTTGTGTACGTTTTGTAAGTGAAGCATTTACCTGTCATATTTGACAGCTCATTCTAGAATCCAGCTTAATATATCGAAATGCACTAAAGGGTAACAGTACATAATTTTTCGTGTTCTACATCTTTGTAATTGGCAGTGTTATCCTATTTTCATTAGGGGATAAGATTACAATGAGAAGGTTTTCTGTTCAATTAAGATTTTACTCTTCGCTCTAGAGGATCCTGAATCCAATTAAGCGAGCATTTCTTCAGAATTTTTCATGGGATATCTGCTCTGGTCGCACTGTTAACATCCCCTATTGTGGGCCTGGCCGAACCAATTATGGGTTTGGAGAAAAGACCCTCCCAGTGCCCACAAAATCCACGAAAATTCACTCCATCGTTTAGGGCAAGCCCGATAACGTATACACCAAAAAAAGGTTTACAGCATTGCCCTATTTTACCTTATATCATTGATGCCAGGTCTTTTGAGAGGCCTTTCTATGAGAAATTGGTTTCTAGTTAGGTATTAGCACGTAAAGAAAGACGGAAAACTTCACGTCACCACCTTTTTAGTTAGGTGCGAACCCGCGACCAATTTCTATTATTCAGTAGTTGTAATTGCTCGGCACTGATACACAGTTGTTACACAGCATATATACCTATACATTATAATTTTAACGAAATATCTATTTTGAGCATTGTTTATCATATACTAACTAACTTAATAATGGGATATGCTTCGTGTACAGTGCTACAAGTTATAAAACCAGACAGAAATTTCTAATTTTTCTTCGTCTATTTATATACAGTACTTGACAACGCTATTCCCTACATCACCATACTACTAATTAATATTAAGATCTATATATAATATATAATCACTGTATATTCTGGTGTCTTAGGGCCTCACATTCGATAGACGGGAAAGGCCTATTATATATAACTTAAAAACATAACAATTCTAAGTTCAACCCGGGAAATGTCAATATATAAACTTATATACAGCTATAAACGTTACAATATTTAAATAAATTGTATATAAAATAATAGAAAAATACTCACTCAATTTTCTTTGAAGTGTTGTCTTATGACGAAGTTCAGACAGAGATGTTTAGTTGATATCTTTTAACTTTTAAACAGTTAATATACTGTTTACTTTAAGATGCTATACAGATAATAATTAAGTTATAATTTAATTTAATCTTATATAAATTTAAGTTATTAATTTATATACCTTCCTCCATACATTAATTCATCTCAGATACAGTTTTCTTTGTTTGTATTCTTACAATAGTCTAAAAAACGTCTAAAATAGTACAGAAATTTTATAAAATAATTAATTATACATAAAATTAATCTTATATAAACCTCACAAATACATATAACTAGGCTCACATAGTGTGGGTGCCAGCGGGTTCATCTGTAGGGCCTTCAGACATAAAGGCAAACCTTATCCCCTTTATAAAAAAATATATAATAAATTAATTTTTATATTGGTAAATAATGGAAAAATATACTTTTATTAATATATCTTTTATGATTTTTTTTTTTAAATAAGGCCCTATATATACTGGTGATTTCATGTTTTCTAGAGAATAGCGTCGGATTAACGAGGCGTTAATTAATTAAATTTAATTGTTATATTAGGCCTGTATTTAATTTCAGACTAGGCCCTAGTAGACCAGACCAAATATGGGGTCTTCTTAGGTCTAAATTTGATCAACATTATTTAGTTTATCGTATACAGACCTGAAAGACGAGAAATCAGGCTGAAGAAGTTATAGATAAGGGGCCTCATTCTTCTATGAAAGCCATAAAAATATATGAATAAAATGAATATAATTTTGAGGCCTTTTTGAGTCGATAACTGGATGAAATGGCCTTGATGTTACCTTCTATCAAGGCCTAATTATATACGCAGTGGTGCCTCGTACTTCGAATTTCAGGAGGCAGTTCGAACTATGAACCATTCGAAGTAAGATAAATTTCAACTCGTAATAATAAAAATATATATAATTTATTATTAAAATTAAAATAAACAAAATAAATAAATATATTTTTTTTTGAACCTCCAATAAAGACCACCTGCCAACAAAGGACACTTTTTACGTTTTCGTCAGTGGCCGTTATTGAAAGGTTTGACAATAAATAATTTAAAAAATAACACATTATAAATAATTTATTTAAAAAATATATTTATTTATATTAATTCAATTAACCGCAAACTTAAAGAGATTTAATTTAAATTTTTGAAATTCAAACTAACCAATCAGAGCGTAGAATGGGAGTAACTGTAAAAATGCAATAACTTTTTATTAATGACATGACTCATTCGTTTTATAGTTTTTATATTTGTCCGAAATTCCAACATTTTTGCTGGAATTTTGGGCATTCTTTATTTATTTTCATTCCTAATAATTTTTTTTCTTTATCTTTATAAGTCTTCAGATTGATTCGGGAGATATTAAATGGATGGGCCATATCTTTCGAACCAACGGTCCGACTTTCCTGAAAATTTCTAGAAACATTCCTTCCTAACACATAAACCTTCGTGCAAAATTTCAAAAATTTTCGACTAAAGGAACAGGAGTTATTTAGCTTTAAATGAGTGAAAGAGATAGTGTCCCTCCCCCCCCACACACACACACTAACTTTCATACATACAGAAAAACCTCCAAATTTCCCTCCTTTCAAGTCTAAAAATGTAAAATATAAATTTAATTATTTAAAAAGTACATTAAAACATGTATAAAGTACAGTGACAGTATAACTATTTTCGTTTTATAATTATGAAATAGATAAATTAAATATTATTTATTCTACGATAAAACTTTGAACTGTCCTTCATCTATGTTTAAAACACGTAAATGTTAATGTTCTTTTTTTAAAAAAAAATAATTAACCGTTACCAAACGATTCAGGTTTATACAGGTTTTACTTTATAACGAATCTTGTGTAATGTAGGTCTTGTGGGCACACTAAAGAGGGCCTTTCCTGCAAACCCATCGTTGGTTCGACAGGCCCACAATGGGAGCTGGTATTAAGAGTGGGGCCAAGACAAAGATACTTAAAGAACTGCTCTCTGAATTGGATCTAGGATCCCCCAGAGCGAAAATTAAGGCCTTAATTACCTTAGTCTTGTGATTATATCTACAGAAAATTAATATAAATTCTATTTTTTTATATGGTTTATAAGCAGGGAGAGGTAGAAAAATTGCAAATTTCGAGTGACAGATTCATTTATATAAAGTGAACACATAGTCCCTATACACGAGGTTGTGTCCTGGATCTGTCAGTTAGAGAATATCGATGACAAATTCAATAGACGATAGATCCGATACGGTATGACTTGCGGAAACTCCAAACTTAATAACGTGTGACAGTTCGCTTTCGGGGGTGATAAAAGAGCTACAATTGGCTTTGGGGAGTGTGAAAGAACTCGACTTCTCTTTACAACAGTTAACTGGGACTTCTTTGATAAATTCAGAGCGTTAAAATTAAAGAAGATATTCAGAAGAACGTGAGGAAAAATTAAAATTTGTGAGGGGTGTAAAGGGGGTACGAAATGAAGTGATGGGATGAGGCAATTACAACGTAACACAGGCGATTTACCAAGAGAATTTTTAAGTGATAGATACGTGAAGAATATCCAGAAAACTCCGTGTGGAGTGGATAAAACCACTAAACATGGTTGGTCTTCTTCACCTAAATAGGGACAGTTTCCAATAGAAAGACATTCTCTTTCGGTAGATCGCCACGTGGCCAATAAGTTGAATAGGTCGTGGGTTCGCACCCACGACCGCCAAGGGGAGTGCCTCCAGGGAGAATTTTTAGGAGTTAGACACGAGTAGGACACCATGAAACTTTACGGTAGCCAGCAAATAGGTTAGGTACGAACCCACGACCAAGTGTCCGGTGGTCGTGAGTTCTCACACGGCTACTGGTGGTCCTGTTAAGAGGTACGAATAATTCCTAACTAGTACGCATTATTAATTATAGTGTGTATAAGGATCATTCTACAGAATCCGCATTAAAAGATCTTTAATTTATTGAGGAAAACACAGATTTCCTCTTTACTTAAATGATCTAACATTAATGTGTTAGGTCTTGACTAAATTATCGAAAATTATACATTTGTAACACGAATTTTCTATGAAATCTCTTGAAGTTTTTCTTCTGTTAACTTAGCAATTCATAATTTATATATACACACAGTTAAACATCTGAACAACGTCCACTGACGAAAGAAAAGGCCTCCATTCGAAGGTGGCCATTTTTAGGATGTTATATTGTATGNCCTGTATTTTCCATCAGAATGTAAAACAAATAAATATAATTAAAATTTCATTTGAATTGGACAAAAATTGTAGAAGTTATAAGGAACTCACATACATACACACAGACTTTTATATTATTAATAGTTTCAGCCCAGTTGTAAGGGATTTCATTCCTAAAATGCATGGGAACTGAAGAACACTGTTCATATGGGAATTCCTTTCTGTTACATCAATATCGCCATGCAACTCTCCCATGCTTTATACTTGTAACTGTTTTTATATCAATTCTTCTATGACTATTGTTCTTTATTTTGAATTTCTTTTTCTAGACTGTTCAATATATTTATAAGCTGAACATGATCAGAGTAATTGCTGATAACATTTCTGATGAAATATTATTTNCTTGACTAAATTATCGAAAATTATACATTTGTAACACGAATTTTCTATGAAATCTCTTGAAGTTTTTCTTCTGTTAACTTAGCAATTCATAATTTATATATACACACAGTTAAACATCTGAACAACGTCCACTGACGAAAGAAAAGGCCTCCATTCGAAGGTGGCCATTTTTAGGATGTTATATTGTATGCAATATTGTTCGAAATAAATTCATGCCACCGTTTACAAGTGACCAATCATAAACATTTTCTGTTTATTTTATATATTTCATTAAATATAATTTATTTTAAATACATTGTCAATACTCCACCCTTTAATAAACTCTTTCAAACTGTATTTAATTCTAATTATTATCAAGTTTTTTTCCAAAAGATGTCTTATAAAATAGAAGGTGCTTGTTAAATTCAAGGTAATAAATGTTATAAATAATTGTAATTTTCTTGTGTACAAAAGAAAATTCTTTCGTAGAATTTCCCATAAAATGCATAACTTCACACTACTATTCTTCTATAAGGAAGTACTTAAGGTTAGTATAATTATGTGAATAAATGCTTTTTTATGTATCATTCATCAAATTTAAATGCAATTAATAGGCATAAGGTAAACAAGTTGAAGCTTAGGGCCCCGCATTACGAGTCTCTAGGGCCTCAGATTCATGCATTATTTAAGAAAAAAGAAGGGCCTGCTCTGTATTATAGCTTAAGACCACGAATCTAACTCCAACTCTGACCACTGATCAATTGCAAAGATTAAAACTAAGTTTTTTTATATATAATCCTTACGCTTAATTAGTTTGACACTGAAAAAATTTACCCTAAAAACAATTAAAATTATAATTAATTAATTAATAGAAGTAATAAATAAATAAATACAATAATAATATCGTTTGCAAGTAATAAATGCAGAGTGACCCAAAAGTCAGTCAACTTTTTAAAACTTGTTTTAAATACGTTTTATTTGTGATTCTGTTAACTGATTTTTGGGACACACTAAGAAATTTAATATCGGTTAGATTTGTTATAATTATTAAGTATAAGATGCCAATAACTTAATTAAACGAATCGTCTTAAAAATATACCTAAGTTAATTGACTTTTGGGCCACCCTGTTCTCAATAATTATATTTTATCAACGTTAATTCATTTCTCTTCCCTTATTGATTTAACGTTGTTCTAATGTCATTTACTGCTCTGTTTATAAATTTGTATATAAATTTAATTTTAAAAAGTGCTAAATAATGTACTTAATGGTTAATTTTAGTAGTGTGACTTAATTAAATAAACGTTATCGACCTAATCTTACCTCTGTTCTAAAAGCCCTTTAACTTATTGATACGTAATAAACGTTGTGTAACATATCACACCTTGCAAGGATTTTATGCAAGGTATAATACGTTAACGTATATATGTAGTCGACCCCCCCTATAACACTGTTGATTATTCCGTTTTATATGAATTCCGTGTTGTACGAGTCACTTAGATTTTACAAATACGTGTGCCGGGCTGTGAACGGCTCCCGTATTTATAAAATCTAAGTGACTCGTACAACACGGAATTTATATAAAACGGAATAATCAACAGTGTTATAAGGGGGGAGGTCGACTGTATTGTTAATTTTTCAAGAAAAATGGGGAAAAATCAGTAGACTTAAAACGAAATTCGTCAAGATCTTCGCCTTATTTAGAATGTCGAGTAGCGTGGCACTCGTTTGTTTACATTTAAACAATGCAAATTTCCTCATCGACTTAACACAGGGGATGACCTTTGACACTCAATATCTCCGGTTCTAGATCGAATTTTAAAATTCTTCTACCGTCGCCACGCGCCATCTTATCAGTTCTAATAACATGTAAAATTTCGTACAAATCGGTCGAGTCATTATTTCTTTAAACGTGTTTTATCTCCTTTCTCTCGCTCTGCCCTTCAATTAATCCATGGCAATTTACATACTTGATTGCATATTAAATTAATTTTTAACGTCTTACCTTTAATTGTGTGACTTTATTCCAAACTATTGCAATGTATTTTACAATATACTTCCTTTAAAACACTGTTACATCTACTGAAAACAGGTTTTATTGTGTTATTAATGTCACCGCTGTTAACGTTTAAGAACTTAATTCATGCGATTCTATAGCATTTACGAATGATAAATATGTTTATTTAATTATAAATATTTAAAAACATTTATATTAATTTATCAATTTACTATTACATGAGCTTATTATTGTTATGTTTATCACGAACTTTATGGGTGATGTTCAGGCTTTATAGTATAAGTCTAAACAATATGATTAAAAGCTTATTTATAGTACGTAAAAATTCCGATTTTTATATAAATTTTACGTATTTTAATAAAAATAATTTCTATTAAAGGACTCTTTTATCAATTTAAATAGCATAAATTATAAGAATTTAAATGAGATGAGAACTAGAAACATTATTATGACGTTTCAAAACATAATACTCACGTTGAATGATGAAGTAAATTTTAAGATAATTTAGTTCAAAGGCTATCGAAATTTATAGAGGTTATTCGCATAAACAAATATAAATACTGTTTAATTAATTGTATAATTATATAATTATAAATGGCTAATGAGAATTGACTTAATTATTTTCTCTCTTTAGCACTGTCGATGGAGATAATATGTTTAAATGTGTTTCAACAAGTCGATCGCGATCTACTATATATAAGGATTTTTCTCTGTAAGTTATAGAAATTCCTGTTGCATTGAATGAGAAGATTTAATAATGGTTAAGAAGAATAGGAAAAGTATCGATGGTAAAGTATTGGATTTCCAAGAAATCTTACAGTTAGGTCCATGAACAAATTAAATCCAAACGTTCATATTATAACGAAATCCTTTGGTCATTAAATGGTATATCAAAAATACCATTAGACACGAGAAAAGTATTCCCAAAACAGTACACAGTCGACCCCCCTATAACACTGTTGATTATTCCGTTTTATATGAATTCCATGTTGTACGAGTCACTTAGATTTTACAAATACGTATGCCGGGCTGTGAACGGCTCACGTATTTGTAAAACCTAAGTGACTCGTACAACATGGAATTCATATAAAACGGAATAATCAACAGTGTTATAGGGGGGTCGACTGTATTATGCTTGAAAAAGTAAAAGGAGAAAGTAACAAACTGAATCAAATTACTGAGAGTATGAGGGTACCATTGAGAACATTTCGGACACAGAAGACAGTTTTTCAGGTAACAACCAATTTATACAATAATTGAAAATTGACTACAATTAATCTAATATAAAATAATAGAAACAGCGTGGGAATTTGGCAAAATTTAGTGTTGGATTGGACTAATGGGATACGTCAATGCAATATAACACATTGATCCATCTACCAGTTTCTCATAGAAGTCTTCCGGGAAGACTTCTAAGGAAAAAAAATAGTACCTATTTAAATATTAATCACGTGAAGGAAACTGGATAAATTCCATTTTGGTCAGGTCCGAACCCACGACTCGCTATTATTGTTTAGTGGTTTTTATCCACTCGGACATTGGTTGGCTTTCAGAAAAGAAAAAAAAAATGAGCGAAAGTAATAAATAATTTTGTAGTAAGAATGTTAATTGCCTTTATTTACAAGTCACGTGTATAAATTTTTCTATAAAAGATACAAAAATTAAAAACACAATGCGGGGAAATACAAAGAAAAAAATATTTTTTAAAAAGTTTAATTTATTTTCTGCCAAAATATATTGCAAATTTTCAAATTTATGACGTTGATTTCCACCTGTCAAAACCAGAGCAATGCAAATGACCACACACTCGAATGTATGAATTGAGTGACAACATTTCTGAATAATAGAAAGGAAAGAAATCACATTGTTATTTTTATTGTGAAGCGAAATCTCAAAATATTTTTTTTTTTTTTTAAAGATGAGAAATTAAATATAGAATTTAATTGCAAGGAGACATAGGGAAGAACCAGGTAATAGTAATTAGAAGACTTCTTGTTAAATGAAACTATTATATACACTAAATTGTAGAATATGTATTTCTGTGTTTTGCAAGATCCTTTGCGTGGCATTAATGAAAAGGATTTTTATACCATAAGGATAATATTTGTTTACGTTGGATATGTTCTTCTCCTCCCCTTTAAGTAGTTGTATTAAGTTTAGATTTAGCTATAATACTATCGAACAACAAGTTGAAGGTCATAAACTTTGTATAAATAATAAAGAATTAAATTATATAAACTTAATTTATATGTAGAAAAATATGTACAGGTACAGTATATATATATATAAATTAAATATTTATTTTTCTTCTTCTAAGAAATTTTAAATCGTTAAAAGTATAAAGTTTACTTATCATCGTATAGATAAAAATTGAACTTAGCAGCTCATTTTTCATCACTTTAAACTATGTGATTCTGTAATTGAAATTGCTAAAGTGATAAATTAGTAAATATTTTTAAATACTACCATTTAAAATTTCATTAAATATATTTAAAATACTTTTCGTTAACAAGAATTTAATTCATAAACCCATTCCTCGCACTTGTGATTGACTTCCAACTGACAGATGACAGACATTAGATAAGCTCCTTGCCGATTAAAATTATAACATAACTTTCTGTATTAGTATTTTATATAAAGCATACTAAATTATGTGGTTTCTTTGTGTTCTTTGCTCACGAAAAACCCCCTTCTATCTAAAATTGTACATCTATTTAAACTGGACCCCCAAGAACTCCTATCTAGAACTACTTCTCTGTATGAAAGGAGATTGTTTCCACTATCTTTTCCTTTCTAGGAAGAGAGTTAGAAGGAAAAAAAAAATGGTTGTATATTTTTACAATGTAAACAAGTTTAAGAAATTAAAATTAATAATAAACAATTCCAAGTAAAAGAAAAAATAATAATAAAAATGAAAGCAAATGTTTGATTATATAAATGACATTACATTTATCGCCATTCCTTTATTACATAATTAAAGGTCAAAAGTTTATTTTTAGGAAAAATATCTGTTATAAAAAGGTGATGTTTATTTAATAAAATAACGATAAAAAAATCTATTCTGTACAAATATTAATTTTCTGTACTTGTACACCAGGTTTATGTTTTTATTGTAGAAAAGGACATGCTGATATTACAGAGATATTCATAAATTAATATCTTCATATTCTTCTTCCCTGTAATGCTCCTTTAATTCCTTTCCTACATGAAAGCAGGTTCCATTTCCTACTTTACTGGAAAGGTTTCTTCAAGAAACTAAATTTATATTATTAATATATGTATACAAGTCGACCCCCTATAACACTGTTGATAATTCCGTTTTATATGAATTCCATGTAGTACGAGTCACTTAGATTTTATAAATACGTGTGCCGGGCCTTGAAAGGTTCATGTATTTGTAAAATCTAAGTGACTCGTACAACATGGAATTCATATAAAACGGAATAATCAACAGTGTTATAGCGGTGTCGACTGTACATTGCTTGGTATTTGATGCAGAAAGTGATAAGTGAAAAACATGGCAAGCATTCCTTCGATGTTATGAGACTATGATAAGCAAGAATAAAAGAAATTTCCCTGGAGAAATACCCAGAGAAGTATAGTGAGTACCAGATTACGAGGAGATGATTTGCTTGTATAAAACAAGACTTGGAGCAATTCAGAGTGGAGAGAAGGAAAGAATAAAGCTGGAAGATGGATAAGAGGAGGCTGTTCGCCTCCTCTTATCCATCTTCCAGCTTTATTCTTTCCTTCTCGCCACTCTGAATTGGGATTTAGTTTCCTTTATTCTTTCGTTCCACTGTGAATTACTTAGTATCTGAGGATGAAGGGATGTATATGATATAGGAAGTCACACGATGTTGATGAGAGTAGCCAATTGTATGAGATGATTTAAATTTGATCATATAACTAAATTAATTGAAACAATACACTTAAATATGTATTCAACATCCATTTAAACTTGGAGAAAGCTTCTGTTTATATAAATAAAGGGGTGTACGTATTGGCAGTTGTTTCAAGCACCTGGCGACATCTGTTAAGCAAAATTAGATAAATAATCAAGATATAAGAAAAATAATTTAATAATTTCTATAATATTTTAATTAATTTTATAAAGTTTTTACAAGGAAAATTTTATTAAATTTAAAGAAAAGTATTTTTAAATTAATAATAACCGATTATAAATTAGTCGACCCCCTTATAACACTGTCGACTATTCCGTTTTATATGAATTCCATGTTGTACGAGTCACTTAGATTTTACAAATACGTGTGCCAGGCTGTGAACNAATGTATAAGATAAAATTTCACGTTCATTTTGAATTTTTTTTTTTTAATATAAAAGCTCAAATATCATAAAATTTTTAGAAAAATAATTTTTTTTATTATATTATATTGTAAATTATATTATTATCGAACGGTAATTTGACAATATAATTACTTTAAATTGTTTAAATTATATTTATACGCATACATGTAATTATGTCTTAATTTACAAGGAAAATATAAAGTATTTTCTTAAATGTTTTTATTAAATAATTTTAAACTTTTGACAGATATTAAAGCATTAAAATACCCTTCAATACAGGGGATGAGACAGAGAAGTGCACTTCACACTCTTGTATGACGTCACTTCACCATATGAGAGAGGCCTCACGTATATTTTATAGACAAGCTTCATATATGTGTTTATTTGGTAAAGGGAGTGTCAATAATGTAACCAATGAAAAACCCAATATTAGGGGGGAGGCAAATTAAAACTTTCAAATCTACATTCACCCCTATATCGCTTGGGTGTAGTCATAAGAGTTTACTCTTACTACACAACACTAGTGGATTCACACAGATACAAGAGTGAAGAAGAAAACCGAGGAAGATTCCACGTGTCAACTCATTGGTCAGGCCCAAACCCACTACCAAATATCAACGTTTAGAGAGTTTTATCCACTCTATCACTAGTGGAAGGGTATTCGTTTTGCTTGCAACACCAAGGAGCTGATTACGTGCAGTTTCTTGTGTTTTCTTCACGTGTCTAACACCTAAACTGGAGTTATTTCCCCGTAGAAAATCCACCCGGAAGACATTTTCTCCTTGGCAAATCTACCAAA